TTCTAAGGAAATTTCTAAGTTTTAAGATGAGATGTGTTCAGAATCACACATCACATTGACAAAATGTTAATCAATTGGAAAAGGAGTCATAGCCTTTTGCCAGTGGAAACTCTCTATAGTCTGCCCATTTTATGGGGCCATTATTACTAGCCTGTAAACCCTACCTCCTCCTTCACACCCTGAAGGACAAAAACCCTATGCTATGGCTCCACTCACTAATCCAGACACAACTACAAATTTATCACATTTTTAAAAAGAATGCATTTCAAACTGCTAGATTACCATTATCTTGGGCACAAATAGTTTTTAAGTTTTTTAACCTTTAAAATACAAAGAATGATTTAGAGCAAAACAATTTTAAAATGACTACGCTCAAAATTCACTTTAAAAAACTGGCATTTTTTAAGGTTAAAATTTAAAGTTGGAATTTCAAAGGAAATACAACATGTGCAGAGTACAGAGGTTTAATCTGGAGTAAAATTTTTAAGGAGCTCAAAACTAAACTGCTAGAATACCTTGCTACTAAATCTATTTTAAGAATAGACTTATATCCCTTCATGGTAATTCATAACACATGCTAAAAGATAGCTAATTCACTTATAATAAATATATGGGCCAAGATTCCACTTGTCCCCTCTTGTTTGCATGTTACAATACTGTGTTAAATTGAAGTCCAGTGGTAGGACAAAAGTTAAGGTGACTGGCGATGGCCTGGGGATGCAGTGGATGACCTTGGCATCTTCCTCGTCTGACCAAGCTCTAAGTGCTCCAACAGGTCTGCTTCAGCCCCCTTCGTGACTGTTGGAACAAATTGATTTCATCCACCCATTCCACCGGTGGACATCTTCACACACCTGTGGTAGACATCCCCCTAACTCACTGACAGGTTCCTCTCAACAAACACTCCTAACTGCCTCACCTAAGGAGAAGTGTTTTCATGAAAGGTGTTGCTGGACTAAATTAAGGGTAGTACAGTCACATTCATTAATTCCAAATAACTGGTGTGTGGAACAGTGAGGAATCCAACTGAATTACAAACTGTTAGAGCAATTTTGAAAGGCTGTTGTTGTTTTTTTTCCACAAAGTATTAGACAGTGAATATAAGTTAAAAAGCAAATTTAAGTGTTTATTTAACAAAAACATACATTAGGAATTAAGTAGAGAAAATTCAAAGGGTGACCCAAATATGGAGACTTGTGGGGCAAGAAAGAAGGACAAAGAGAAGAAACCCTATTCAGCTTGGAACTCTCTGGCCCAGGGCTTGAGTAACAGATGACGACCACCCCATCACTCACTGATAGAGTTTCAGCAAAATCTCAACCGGCTGCCTTCGTGCAAGCAATGGAAACAGTAAGGTTAAAAGCATACAAACAAGGATTCACCAACCGGGTACATATGGTGGAAAGAGTCTTGTGTTGGGAGTCAGAGGATCTGAGTTAATACACCAGCTCTGTGACTTTAGACAAGTCACAACCCCTCTGGGCCTCAGTTTCCTCATTAGCAAAATAAGGGTGTTGGATCAGATGACCTCCAGCTCTAAATCTATGATCTTATCAATCTATCAATCAACAAGTATTAAGTGCTTACTGTGTGCTAGGCACTGTGCTGCTATTAAATATGGATATATACAAAATAGCTAAAGACAAGGTACTTTGGGAGAGAGAACATTAACAGTGGCGGGATATCTGGGAAGGCTTCATGCAGGAGATTGTGCCACAGCTGCACCATACAGGCGAGAGGGAAAAACTGAACTGCATTCCAGGCATAGAGGACAGTCATTGCAAAGGCACAGACAGAGCAAATGGAATGTTGTGTGTGAAGAACGGAGAGAAGGCCATTGGACAGTAATGCCCAGCAAGGTTGGGAAAAAAAAGCAAGATGAGATTGTGCGGTGCTTTAAAGCTAAACGGAACCGTTTCTATCTTCTCCTAGACACAACAGGCAAAGTCCACTGAGTAGAGGAATCACACGATCAGACTGGTTCTTAAGGAAAATTACTTTGCCAGCAGTGCACAGGGTGGACTGGAACGGTGAGAGACTTGAGGCAAGAAGACTGACCAGGAACCCAATTGCTGCAATAATCTAAGAGAGACTCGCACAAAGGTGGTAGCAGTGAACGTGGAGGAAGAGTGGGAGGGAGAGATGTTGTGATGTTAGAAATGGCAAGATCTGTCAACAGACTGGCTACGTGGGCTGAGGGGAGATCGATGATAAAATAAAGGTGAAAGGAGGGAGTCCACATGTTGAGAGAAGCTGAACTGATTACATATGGAAATAACTAAAACAATGCAGCACATTACTAGCCTAGCACACAGCTATTTTTTCAGTACCTTTTGGAAACTTATCTTCAATGTGCTAAGTGTGAAAACAGTCAAGATGAATAAATGGAACTATAGATAATTTAAAGGTTCCAAGGCATCTGCTGAAGAATAATTTAGTATCCTTTTGCCTCGGAAATTCAATTTTGTGAGTCACATGCTTTTTTTTTGTACAAGTCCTATTTTAAGATAATACTGCATGGAACAAATTGACAAACTAAGGCATTTACAAAAAAGATTTGAAGCAGGGGGATCCTTTACCAACAGGCTAAGAGCTGTTGAGTTAACACCTCCAGGGCTGTCAAAAAGCACCATTCCTAGGAAAACCAAAAGACTATTCTACCTGGTACCCATCTCCATACTCTCCACTTGTCATTGTCCTAGGAAGCAATGTGGATTTGGAGACAGTGAACAAGGGTATTGAACAAGGGTTTAAACCTATGGTCCTTCCACCTATTACTTTTGTGACCCAGGGTAAGTGAGTCTTCTTTTTTCTTTTTTTTTTTGGTTGAGGTTATTGGGGTTAAGTGACTTGCCTAGGGTCACGCAGCTAGTGGCAAGTGTCTGAGGCCAGATTTGAACTCAGGTCCTCCTGACTCCAGGGCTGCTACTCTATCCATTGCACTACCTAGCTGCCCCTGAGTAAGTCATTCTTAAACTTCTCTGGGCCATGATTTTCTCATGTGTAAAGTTAGGGTGTCCTTCCTTCAAAGGCCCTTTACAGTTTTACATCTAAGATCTTACAGTTAAGAACCAATCACATGCAATCACATGTGGTGGTTATAAAGTGTAGAGAAATCTAGCAGGTTTCAACGCAAGCCCTGATACTGAATCTATGGGAAACAAAAGTAACTGTGAACTCAAAATGGAAAAGAGTGGTATGTGAACTATGAGGCAATGACATTGCTTTTTATCCTGAAAAGTCGAGGGGCGGGGGGGGGGGGGACCTGAAAAATACCCAGAGTCCATTCCTCCTACCCAAAGGAAAAGGTCTCTGAAGCTTTTCAGGAGGCTACTCAACATGCTGCTTCACTGGTAACAGCACATGAAAGTCCATGTAGAAACCACAGGACTGCTCTCTGTGTGTCACCGAAGACTTCTAATTTCAGAGGGAAAAAAAAAACCGTCACAACAAAAAAGCATATTTAAAAATTCAGTCAATATTTTCATAATAACTATCTGAAAGAAAAGTATAACAATCTAGAAAGTTCACTTGCTCAAGACTTTTCAAGAATTTACCTACTGAATAACATAAAAATACAGGGTGTCCCAAAAGTCTTAGTGATGTTTTAAAGTTTGGGTTTTTTTTTTTAAAGTTTAAAATTGCACTAAGATTTTTGGGAGAGTTGGTGGTAGAGATGGGAGAGGACAGAAAAAAAGAAAAACGTTAAAAATATTGTCAAAAGCCACTCTATCACTTCAGCCTTTACAGTTTTATTTATTACTGTGCAAGTATTTTGCTAAAAACTAATTACAAAATCAATGTTAGTTTAATGAAGGGCTTGTTTTCACATTTGAGGATCAAGTGATATTCAGAAGGTAAATGAATGAAGCCTTGTCATACTGACCAGGGGAACTTATCTACTATTACCGTGTGTGAAAAAATGTATGTAGACTAAAAACTGTCCTGACAGAAGAGAGGCTATAAGTAGGGCATAGAGAACCTAGACCAAGAAGTATCTCTGTAGTTTCAATACTAGCAAGCATGCTCCTTGGGACCCCATGTGTACAGAGAAATATTCAAACTTCACACACTAGAGCAGAAGGCAACCTTTAAAATAGTACCAAAGTTAGGATATTGCCATAAATAGATTACTGAGGACCATTTTAAACCATAGAAAAGAAATGCAAATGATCTGCAAATATATTTAAGTGCAGCTGCCATAAACTCACTTAGAAAGAAAGCCTCATGTTTGATAAAATTGAGAGGGAAATGTGCTAATCCATTCTCAGATCCTTAAAAAAGAATCAAGAACGTGCATCATTTACATGTACCCTGTGATGTCCAAATAAAGGAAATGAAAAACTTTAAAATATCTAATCTTTTTTTTTCTTGGTTTAAAAAAAAAGTGTTTCATGTTCAACATCGTAGTTAATAATCGTCTCCCCAAAGTTAACTGAAAAAACAGATAACAAGGCAAACACTGACAACATGAACAGTAAGTATGAGCAGGCACTGCAAAAAACAATTTTTGTTTACTGATTCAATAATACCATTCCAAAGTAGTAACATGAAAGAAGACCTTTTTTTATAAAAACTTCACAAATAAAAAACTTTTCTAAATAGTTTTTACAGTTGAACACCTTATAGCACAGTGAGCTATTTTAGAAACAAGCACAAAAACTCTTATTCCACAAAAAAAAAAACAAAAGAATTTTATTTCTGTTTTAAACTGAGTAAATTCACTGCAACATTAACCTCTTTTTTCTGGTACAATGCAAATAACAACAAATGCACATCTTAAATTTGGTTGGTCACAAATCAGAATGCTATCTCTTTTTGATGCAGCAGAAAGTAATAAATAAATGAAAATTAAACACTTCATATCAACAGTTTGGTATCAACAATTCAGCAGCGCCATCCCCACATCTGAAGGACAACACAATCTGGTTTTATAAAAAAATACTTGATATGTCATGTCACTTGGGCTAAAGATATGTTAAGATATTATTAGTTGTTCCTTTTTTTCTTCAAGGAGTCTGGACATGTGATTACCGTCCACTAGTACAGTCACACATTTTTAATGGGGGTAAGTGACCAGTTGGTCCATGGCACAATCAAATATTTCACACCTCTGTCAGAATGAAACCTGTGCAAAAGGCTCCATGTTTATAAGCGACAATACAAACTGACGAAGCTGTCAGTCCTTCACACTTTTTAAAAAAATATCTACATTTATCCTCATAAATGCCTAAATGTTAAACCATCATTTGTTCAAAGAAAGAGATGCACATTCATATTGTGAAGTTATTAGGAAAATACTCTCGCAAATAAACTATATAAAGATAAAATACACTTCAAAGGTTTTTTGTAATTGTTGGTTATTTTTTTTAACATTATTCTATAAAGTGCAGAGAAATCCTTCTAAGGGAAAAAACTACTCCCTATAACAACAATATAATTACAGCAGCTTTTGCATAGCAATACTTAGAGAAAGTTGGACACTTCAGTTTCCTCAGGAAGAGAAGGATGGAAGAACATCATCCAATTCAGATCTTTTTTTGGACATGGTTCTATTTTCTTCAGGAATGGTTGCTGATGCCAAATCTCCATTGAGAATATTTCTTGAACAGTGAACAGGTCCTATTAAGAAAGGGATTAATACTTTAAAACTTTCCTTCCAAGACAAACCAAGATTAAATTCATTTTCCTATTATTGGACGCTTCCAATATGGTTCCTTCTAGACCGCTGAAAAGACAATACCTTAAACGCGAGTCTAGTTTCCTAGACCAATGTATGAAGCTACTTTTATTTTAAAGATACACACACAAAAAAAAAAAAAACTTTTGTGGACACTTCCCAGTCAAATCACAGAACTTTAGAATTGGAAAGAACCTCAGACACGTAGTCCAACTCTATTTTAAAAATGAGGAAGCTTAAGTTCAAAAAAGGCCAACCAGGTCACACAGTAAAATGCTAAACTTAAAACTAGACTCCAAGTCATACGGTTAAAGGACTCAGAGCTTGAAGGGAGTTTAGATTCCCTAGTTTAAATCCTTTATCCATCAGTTAACATTACTACATACCACTTACAGGAAAGCAAATGTAGTATAATGGAAAACATACAGCCGCCTCTGGAGTACATGGACCTGGGTTCAAAACCCACCTCCATGACCTTGGGGGTAAGTCATTTACTCTCCCTGGGCCTCAGTTTCCTCATCTATAAAATGGTTGTGCTAAGCTAGACAGCCTCTGAGGCCCCTTCCACCTCTAGTTCATAATCCCCATAACAAGGCCTTCCACCGGGGACGCTCCCGATGAACACCGCCAGCGAACCCAACAAAGCCGGGTACAAAAGCAGTCACGCGCCACCAGAAGCGACTCAGAAGCTCCGGTAATTGAGGAAAGTCCACCGGTGGGGCATCCGCTCTAAATGCCACCCACCGAGCTACTGCTCAATTGTCGGCTAAAGTAGGCACCTGCGAGTACACACTTCAACTACTCTGCAACTGCAGGGAAGTCTCAAGCCAGGCCTGGAGAGAGTCCGATGCACCCGGGTTTTCAGAAAATAGATCTCAAGAATTTTAGGATTAGGATAGGAATGACCCCATCACTGAAGAACCTAAAATGGAATGCGACTTCAGAGATCGCTGGGATGCCTATGGAATGAAACTTTGACTATACAGTCACAAATTACGCCACTGCGAAAGGAAAACAACAACACTGCAGAGGCAGTTCCACGGTGATTTCAGATTTTTAAAAAACACGTACAGAAAAATGAAGGACGTATAAATTTTTAAAAGTGGCACAAAAAGTAAAGATGGAAAGTTTAAAGTCAGGAAGTCAATTATATCAATTAATTCCTTAGTCAGGAAGCTAAGGTTTCCATTAAGTACAATGAAAAAGTCTTTTGGGGGCAGCTAGGTGGCGCAGTGGATAGAGCGCCGGCCCTGGATTCAGGAGGACCTGAGTTCAGACCCGGCCTCAGACACGTAACACTTACTGACTGTGTGACCCTGGGCAAGTCACTTAACCCCACTGCGTAGCCAAAAAAAAGAAAAAAAGAAAAAGTCTTTTAAAGTTATATTAGGATCAAGATGAAGAACTAAGAAGGGACAAACCTACTGTTTGGGGAAAATGATGTGATTTTGACAGATGACAGAGAAATCAGAAACTATTTAATTTTGACTTTGTTTCTGTATTCTCCATCAAAGAAAATAATCTTGAAACAACAATGGGCAGAATATGGTGAACCAAAAACCCTGAAGAGATGTTATAGTCATTTGGGACCAATATCTTTTTGATTCCAAATGGTCCCAGAAGGACCAAATTGGTCCTTTTAACTACTGTAGGGGTAAAAAAATAAAATAGATGGGTATCAAAAACAGTGGGAATGGCACTGGAAGTAGTCCAAAAGAAACTGAATGGTACCACACTTCAGAGATGATAAAGAAAGGACACTTGCACTGAGCAAGGAATGGGTCCTGGTATCTGAAGGCAGCTGATGATACAGTACATAGAGTGCTGGGCTTGGAATCAAGAAAAACTAAGTTTAAAGCATTCCTCAGACACTTACTAGCTATACAAATCACTTACCACCTTTCAACCTCAGTTTCCTCATCTGGTAAATGAGGGGAATTAGACTAAATGATATCCAAGGTCCCTTTCAGCTCTGAATCTCTCATCTTGTAAAATTCTATTATTTTAATTGATTTTAAATTTTAAACTGATTCACATCAGTGAAGTACCTGAACTATATACAATGATTCAACAGACCCTTTTCATAGAATTGAACCATTGTTTTAGTGCCCTTAACCAAACTTTTTAAAAATGATAGAAAATACTCAGCTTCATGGCAATAATACAAAGACTAATATCTAGAGGATGGATGTACAAGGTTATATTGTATTGTAATTGGATTACAAAATTTTAGGACCACTTAATGTTAAATGGCTAACATTAAGAGCGGGGTTGTTTGGGGTCGATAAAACTTAAAGACTTGAAAGGTAAACTATTAGATAAAGATCTTAAGGCCCAATCATGAGCTGACAGGACTAGATGAAATATTTGGATATGCCTACATTAGCAGGAGCAGATTCAACTATACACCTACTAAACACGTCCATGGCAAAGACATAATGGTTTCATTTTAGAGCTAAGAATATGAAGCAGCAAAGTAAAAAAGAGGTAGGAACCAACAAGCTTTGGCTTTTTTGCAAACTCCACAACTAATATTGTCTGTGTGACCACAGACAAATAATTTTCTCTCTGTGATAACCTGGTGACTAGCAAAGGCAGAACTCCTTCACCCAAGTGCTCTCCCCTACTATTACCACCTACCTCCTGCTCTCTTGAAGAGGCTAAACAAATACTGTGCTTCTTTCCTTTCCTCCATCCTTCACTTCTCAAAGTACAATCAATTTCTGACCACTTCGCACATGTCCTTTCACACCTTCTTCTACATTTTTCTTCTAAATCAGAATCTTAGAGATACAACCCTCTTGCCCTCCAACCCTACTAACCCCCAATATCCAATCCCCAGGGACATCTAGTCCAATCCATACTTGAATAAGAATCCCATCCACTCTTACCAAAGAAATGGTCAGACAACCTTTGCTTAAAGATTACTAGTGAATCAAATGCATTACTTTACAAGGCAAACCATTCCACTTTGGGAAAGCTCTAATTGTTAAAGAAGTTTTATATTAAGCCTAAAATTTGCCTCTTTGCAACTTCTGACCACTATTTCTCAATCTGCCATCTAAAGCCAAGTAGGTCACTTTAAACTACTCACCCACATGATGGTCCTTCCAATACTTGAGGATAGTTATTCCCCAAGAAGTCCTATATTCCTCAGGATAAACACGCCCAGTTCCATGTGGGCTTCCTATGGCATGACACCAAGGCTCTTAACCATTCTGGTTACCTACTCCTGGATGCTATCCAGCTTATCAAAGTCCTTTCTAAAATACAGCTTCCAGAAACAAGCACAAGATTCCTAACGCGGTCTCATTACAAAGAATACAATAGGTCTAGTCCATCTCTAGTCTTTGATGTTATGCCCCTCCAATGTAGTCTAAGATCAACTTAACTTTTTTGACTCAATGAGTTTGCATTCCAATAAAACCCAAAGATCTTTTTAGGACAATGTTACCTGGCCACCTCTTCTCCACATTTTGTTTGTGAAGTTAATTTTTTGTATTCCAATGATAAGACTTTATATTTCTCCTGATTAAATTTCAGCCCAATGAACTGACTATTCCTTCTATCTTTGTATCATTCTGTGAATTTAATAAGCAGACCATTAGTGCCTTTACCCAAGTCATTGGTAAAAATGAAAAACAGTACAAAGCCAACCACAGCTCTCTGGGCCACTCTAATTGAGACCTCCTTCTAAGATGACAGTGAAGAATCATTAATGGATGCAACCTTTCCAACAGGTGTGAATCCACTTAAACCTGCCATTCTCTGGAACAAGTCCTGCTAAACTTCCCAAGCTGCTGTAAGAAAATCATTCAAGGGGGCAACTAGATGGCACAGTGGATAGAGCACCAGTCCTGAAGTCAGGAAGACCTGAGTTCAAATCTAGCCTCAAATACATAATACTCACCAGCTGTGTGACTCTGGGCAAGTCACTTAACCCCAAATACCTCACACACACACAAAAAAAAAATCATTCAAGTCCTTTACATATGGAAGTGAGTGGCACAAAACATAGTAAAAATTTTGGGAAAGGGCAACAATGAATGTTCTTCCAATTCACCAGGAGAGACATACTTTTATTACAGCACAAATAATAATAATATGATTTGATTAGACCTGAGAGGCAAGCAGTATGGCATAATAGAGAGAGAGAATCAATCTTAGAGCCACAAAGTCCTGGGTTCACAAAGTTCTACCTCTGACACATACTGAATGAGAGAAGCTGGATAGTACACTGGATAGAACTCTGAACCCAGAATCAGCAAAGTCTGAATTCAAGTCTGTCCTCAAACACTTACTAGCTGAGTGATCCTGGACAAGTCACTCATTTTCTTCATCTATAAAACAGGAATAATAATAATAGCACTAGTTCCCAGAGCTGTTATAAGGATCAAATGAGACAATATTTGTAAAGTGTTGTGTAAATTTTAAAGCTCACAGATAAAAACTTTAAAGTCACTGATAAAAGTGTGAAAACCACTCTAATTGAGAGCTCCTTCCAAAACGGCAGTGAACCATCAATTAATAAAGATAATCTAAGATAATAAACTCAGAGAAGATGCTGACCTGCATTGGTAGAGGGAGAATCCTTATCAGGAAATTTCCAATGAAATCACAAGCCTAGTCCCTCACTTGTCAACTGATTATGCTACCAACATGGAGACTTTTTCCTCTAGACTTGGAATGTTCATTAGCTTAGTTTCACAGACTCATTTAAGATTCATTCTTTTTCTCTCTTTCTCCAATTTAAAAAACATCAACGACCAGGTACAGAAAGTATTTTCATTTTAAAAAGGTATTTACATATGCAAAGTTCTATAACAATCTGTACCTTCACTTAACAGCATCAATCTGGGAATCACAGTAAGAACGCTAATAAAATCCAAAGGCACTTACTGCTGCCTTCAAACTTACTATCTGGGTCTTCAAGGGGAATATCATTGTAGTCTGTATCTGAGTAGGTTCTTCTGCGCCGTTGGGAGATTCGGTGAAGTGAAGGCCCTGGTTCTTTTACAGTGTGACTACTCCTACAAAGAAAGTAAGTTGATTCACTTTACAATCAAACAAATTCAAACATCCCCAAGTCAGCTTGAAGTCTTAAATTACTTCTGTTTCAGTAAAAGAGAAATCCCTTTCATGTTAATATACTAACCAAAACAGCTTTCTGAGTTGAGCTGGATGGAAAATAGCCATCACAAAATTCAAGAACTTTTCTCTGAAAGAAAGCACTACAGCCCTCTGAAAACCTTCAACCGTATGCTCTTGGTTCAGAATTCTATATGAAATAAAGCTCTTGACTAAACAAGGTTGGTGGTCTAGTTTCCCAACCACAGATGGGCAGATGAAACAGTAAATAAGCAGCAACAGATAAAGAAGGAATGGGAAGTATTGAGATTTAGACATACTGATATCAGTGAAAGATGCTAGTGACAGCCAATGCAGAGACAAAAGGATAAATAAAAGGCTTCTAAACTTAGAGCTGAAAGGTCCCTTAGCAATCTCTTAGGCCAACACCCCAATTTTAAACATGAAGAAAGGGAGGCCTAGAAAGATGAAATGATTCACTTAAGATGACAAAAGCATGAAGTAGGAGAACCAGGATCTAATCCCAAGTCCCCTGTCTCCAAATCTGATGATATTCTTTCCACTGTATTGTGGGAACAGGGACATTAAACCTGCATAACTCAATAGCTTCAAGGAATCACTCCAGTATGACTGTTAACATTCATAATGACCCTAAGTCATTCAAATATGAATTATGTTCCATAAATTTTGCCTAGTATAGTACGGAAGAATGAAAATAGATTTTAGAAATAATCCCATCAAAATATTTATTCAAGTAAAATTACCATCAGATATGTTCAAAGTAAAAGGACGCATGGACACTTAAAGTGAGAGATGCATATAACAGCAGATTTTTTTTTATTAATTGAAGTTGCTGGATTTTTTTCTCTTTCTCTTTTTTCTTTTTTTCAAAAATTCTTTGCTTTCAAGTTGGGTCTTTGGAAAGGCTAAGGGGAAGGATACATGGAAAATGGAGGTGATGTAAAAACAAAAATTCAATAAAAATTTATTTTAATAACAAAAGGCAGAGGTTTCAGTTTTCCACAAAACATACTTAGGTGGAGCTACTCATTTCCTGACAATGCTGGACAAATAAAGCTTTAATTAGCATACTTGCTTTAGAATTTTCATTTTACACAGCTGACCCAGAGAAAGATCATTTTAAGCCAAAAAATGTTATAAGGATAAAATAATGGAACATCTAACAACTTACATTTTGAGAGATAAATATTACTATAAGGAAACTTGACTAATGTTAAAAGTTTAAATTCCTCTGCTGCACAATTTAAAAACCTGGGATTATAATAGGTTATTCAAGAAAGCTGAACTTCTAAAAAGAAATCTGCTGACATTAATTTGATTAGTGTTTATTTTTAAACATCCATGAGTTTTTCCCTCATTCTGCAGTTTTTCACCATGATTATTACTTCTTTACCTTTTAATATGATTAAGAAATACAATAAGCTACAGCTCAGCGTTAGAGACCAGAAGCTCCAACCAAATTTCCACTGATCAATGCTTGGGATACTTACAAGCACTTGATGGATATAGAAAGCCATCAGCTGATAAATGGCATGGCCTCTCTGCCATTTTACATACCAAATCCTATTAATGTCAAAAGAAGCAAGGTGATGTAATGGACAGGGCACTGAACTTTGAAGTCAGGCTGACTTGGGCTTGACTCTTGCCTGGGACTCTTAATTTTTAAAAATCCTTTGCTGGGCAACTTTACCTCCATCAACCTCAATTTCCTCATCTAAAAAATGAGGAGGTTGTATCTGATGACTTTTCAGGTCCCTTCTAGGGTAGCTAGGCTGTGCAGTGGATAAGAGTGCTGGACCATGGACTCAGACCCTTACTAGCTGTGTGACCCTGGGCAAGTCACGTAATCATGTTATGCCTGTTTCCTCAACTGTAAAAATGAACTGGAAAAATGAAATAACAAGCTATTCCAGTTATCTTTGCTAAGAAAACCCCACAAAAAGGGGTCACAAGCTAGACACGACTGAAAACAACTAAACAATATAACAATAAGGTCCCTTACAGCACTAAACCTATGATCCTGTAGGCCTTCCCTGTATAGGTAATATGGGGCAAGAATGAGTATGGAGGGGGAAAAAAAGGACAGTTTTACCTGTCTGAGCTGTAAGAACCAGGGTGGCTGATGGAACGTTTCATCTAGAAATTAAAAAGGAAATAAAAACAAGATATAAATTAAAAATGCACAAAATAGGTCCAAAAAATAAATACTATAAATGGAATCATCCAATTTAATTTTAGTAAACCAACTCAATAAAGAGATTGCTGGGAAAAGATTTTTAAAAATGAAATACTCCCAGGGAGCTATGATTTTATTAGGGTGAGTATTCTGTCCAATGATTCACATTTTTACAACCCAACTGTGCCTGCTCATTCTGTGCAACTCTTGTCTGCATCCTCCCCTGGTAGAAAGTATTTCATTTACTGGAAGTTCTCTATACCAAGGAAGTCAGAGGTCCAGTCTCCATCCATATAAAATCTCCAACTAATTTCTCTGGGTTAATAAAAATTAGGGGGGCAATCTTGGCACTATAAAATGTGCTTATAGATTTGATTTTGGAAAGTATATCTCTAAAGCTGCATTGTACATTTAATATAAACCTGACAAGCAGTAGGTGCTTAATAAATATTTTTTGATTGAATGAAGAATAATTCACTACTCAGGCCATTTTTGGGAATCAAATCTCCAACTTAGCCAACTATGCAATACACCAGTGTAAAACATCATAGATTTTGGTAAAAATCCTTGCAAAATCTCTCCAAATCTTTTTTTCAGGTAATTCCCAAAACAGTAACAATGGACACTGTGAATGCAACCTGCTTCCCTTCGTGAAAATTATCTTGTACTTTTTAGTACAAAATCAAATGTCCCCTTCTGACTTTATCTTACCTCTTGGGTCCCACTTTCACATGACACCAAGTTTATCACCCCTGAAAGGACAATGAACTAGTTGACCCTGCCAAACAATGTACCCGTTGTTCCAGAGATTCTAGATAATTTCAGATTGCAAGTTCATGTCACTTGACACTTCCCCCAAGAATTTTTTTTCATTTTTTCCCCAGTTGTGCTTATGCAGAATACAGAACTCATGCACATGACACTATTTATGATAAGAAAACTGACTTGTTTTCACCCCCTCTAACTCTAAACAGTGAAATAATCCCATTGGGGGAAAAATGCTCCAACCATTTGAACAGGTGAAGGTGATACAGGAGAAACTAGAGGATCTGGATGAGGCAATTGAAACATCTCTGGTTTAAACTTGGCATTTGCTATCTTCACACATTCTTCAAGTGTGGTGATGAATGTGTTACATGTGGCACTAAGCAGAGATGAAGCTTCGTTCATATTCTGAAAAAAAAAAATCAACAGACACACAAATGTCAAGGTCAGTAAAGTCAAAGACCCATAAATGAATCTTGTTCAAAGGGGCAACATTACAATCGAGGAGGAAAACATTACCTTCAATTAATACATTTAAAAAACTGCTTTGAGGGAACATTTTACTTCCAAGAACAGGGTGTCAGAAAATTGCAGCAACCTGTGGATAGGTAAGTAATAGCTGTCTCTTCTTGAATAAATAATATATGAATGAAACTAAATTCACAAATTTTAAAAACATGCTTTTCCTGTCTAGTTAGGATAGTAGTGATCTGAAAAACCTTTAGGTAATAATTTCTATACCTGTACATATAAGTGACACAGACGAAAACAATTTTCTAATTCTTAGTGCGTACAATCAAAAAAAAAAAAATCTCAATTCAATTTTGACAACGAGTTATTTTGAGAAACTGGTTCTGAGGCTGTTACATGCAATAGCTTGGGAAACCACTTCGGCCTACCAGGCCAAATAGACAAACAAAATAAGCAAATGACCAAACACCTTCTTTGTCTCTTGAGTCTTAAACCTAGCAGGTGCTTAATAATTATTTTTAATTGAATTGAGTTGGGAAAAAAAGACAAAACTCTCCTTTTCTTTAATCCCTGCTTTTTCCATTCCTACTTACAACAAATACAGAGGTAAACAAAAGCCACTCTCCCAACATCCCTCTACTCAGAGAATGGTATGTGGCTCCCAGTATTAGTCACATCATTAGCACATAATTAGCATGTGCTAATTAACAGAAATAGTAAATGTGTATCCATTCAGCAGCCAGACCCTACATATCTGGATTTCTGACCCTTTTCTAAGAATACTGTGGGGGGGGAAATATAAAAGTGTATTAAAGTCATTTTCAGAAATATTC